ACCCACATCCCACAACACCCACAACCACAACACCCACATCCCACATCACCCACAACCCACATCACCAACAACCCACAATTTTTTCTCGTTTTAACTAATTTCATCAGAAAAAGGCACAACAACAACACACTTATAATCACTTTTCAACAACTCTAGTTCGACAACAACACCAACAACCCACAACACCCACAACACCCACAACCCACAACACCCACACCCCACAATTTTTTCTCGTTTTAACTAATTTCATCAGAAAAAGTCACAGCAACAACCCACTTATAACATCTTTTTCGGTATCTCTAGTTCGACAACAACACCCCACAACACCCACATCCACAACACCCACAACTCACATCACCCACATCCCACAACACCCACAACCCACATCACCCACACCCCACAACACACAACCCACATCACCCACACCCCACAATTTTTTGTCGTTTTAACTAATTTCATCAGAAAGTCACAACAACAACAACCCACAACTTATAATCACGCCTTTGAATAACCTCAAAACACCATTTGAGTACTCCCAAATACACCACTGAATACTACTAAAACACCACTGAATACACTCAAAACACCACCAAAATCACCATGAACTAAGATCAACACCCACAAACCCACAACACCCACAACCCACAACACCCACATCCCACAACACCCACAACCCACAACACCCACATCCCACAACACCCACAACCCACAATTTTTTCTCGTTTTAACTAATTTCATCAGAAAAAGGCACAACAACCCACAACTTATAACCACTTTTTCAGTATCTCTAGTTCGACAACAACACCCACAACAACCACATCCCACAACACCCACAACCCACAACACCCACACCCCACAATTGAGGGTGAGGTGGTCTCGAGGGCGAGGTGGTCTCGAGGGCGAGGTGGTCTCGAGGGCGAGGTCGAGGTCATTAGCACATAGGTGTGAAAAGGAGCCACTCAGGAAAAGGAGCCACTCAGCCGCAGCCCTTTCAGGAGGAGCCATACTGTGGGAGCCATACTGTGGGAGCCACTCTGTAGAATGAGCCACTGAGCCGCCTTCATCACTACTTATATATATATATATATATATATATATATATATATATATATATATATATATATATATATATATATATATATAATATATATATATATATATATATATATATATGTCGTGCCGAATAGGCAGAACTTGCGATCTTGGCTTAAATAGCAACGCTCATCTTGCCATATAGGACAAGCGAAAATTTATGTATACAAAAATTTCGCCAAAATCATTCTGAACCTAACGAAAATAAATTATTTCACTGTGTTTATTTATTATTAAATTACTGTAAACAAATCTAAAATATATTTAGTTGGGTTAGGCTAAAATAAATTACTCTTGTTATAATAAGGTTAGGTAAGTTTTCTAAGATTCTTTTGGAGCAAAATTAAAAATTTTTACATTAAAATTAATGAAAAAAATATATCTTTAAGCGTATAAGAGAAATTTTCAGAAAGGACTTAATTTTAAATGAGTTCTTGCTAATTGACGAGTTTTGCATATTCGGCACGACATATATATATATATATATATATATATATATATATATATATATATATATATATATATATATATATATATATATATATATATATATATATAATATATATATATATATATATATATATATATATATATATATATATATATATATATATATATATATATATATATACTGTAGTTTGATATATATGGATTATATATATTATAGTTTCAATCCCATACAACAATCTTCCCTCCTGGTACACTTGAACAGTTCTTCATAGTAGGCTGGCTAGATAAGCCTACTATAAAAGTAATTTGTTTTATATGTTGGTATATATATTGTAGTTGATATATATGGTATATATACTGCCTGACAGGGTATATCACACATGAATGGACACTCTTGGCTAGTGACCACATGGTCCTGAGTTTTGAATTCCTTGTGTAATTAACAGTGTAGAGAAAAGCAACACTAGAAGGAAGGGAGAAGCCCAACTTCAAAAGAGGGAACTACACAGGCATAAGACACTTCCTGTATGAGGTGAATGAGACGATGGAACACGTGACCAGGAAATGTAGGGAGGCAGAGGAGAAGTTCGTACCCAGGTGCAGTGAAACAATGAGAAACCCAGAGGTGTGTTAAGACCAAAGCCAAATGTGCTAGAGCATGGAAAAAACTATAGAAGCAAAGGACTCAGAAAAACAAAGAGTTGAACCATAGAGCCAGAAACGAGTATGCATGGATAAGAAGAGACGTTCAACGGCAATTTGAGAATGACATAAGCATCGAAAGCTAAATCTGACCCAAAGTTGTTATATAGCAATATCAGGAGGAAAATATAGTCATAGACCAGGTAATCAGCCTGAAGAAAGAAGGCAAGGAACTAATGAGGAATGATCAGGAAGTCTGTGAAAAACTCAGCACGAGATTTAAGGAGGTATTCTCAGAGGAGACAGAAAGGCTCCCAGTAACCTGGGCAGGAGAGTGCACCAGCAAGTGTTGGACACAATACACACAGCCAGAGAGGAGGTGAAGAAACTGTTGTATGAGTTAATTACCTCGAAGGTGACTCACGAAATCGTAATGACACGATTGCAAACCGTGGAACCAGATATCACTCTGTGGGTCCATATTGGACTATGCAGCATCAGTATGGAACCTACACTTGGTCAAGCACATTAAGAAACTGGAGAACGTTCAGAGTTTTGCAACAAGACTAGTTTCGGATTTAAGGGTTACGTCCTATGAGGAGAGGTTATGAGAACTAAACCTGATGACGCTGTAGGACAGGATGACTAATGGGATATGATAACGACATACAAAATACTGAGAGGAATTGACAAGGCGAACAAGGAGAGAATGTTTCAGAGACAGGATACAGGAACAAGAGAACATAACCATAAGTTGAAAATCCAGATGAGTCATAAGAATGTTAGGAAGTATTTCTTCAGCCTTAGAGTTGTCAGGAAGTAGAACAATCTGGAGTGAAGTGGCAGAGGCAGGATCCATACATAGCTTCAAGAAGAAGTACGACAATGCTCTTGTAGCATGGAGAGAGGGGACCTAGGAGCGACCAGCGAAGAGGCGGAGCCAGGAGCTATGAATCGACCACTGTAACCATATATAGGTGAGTACACACACACACTCACACACACACACACACACACACACACTCACACACACACACACACACACACACACACACACACACACACACACACACACACACACACACACACACACACACACACACACACACACACACAGAGTAGTCAGTAAGTGGAATAGTTTGGGAAGCGATGTATTGGAGGCAGGATCCATACATAGCTTTAAGCAGAGGTATGATAAAGCTCACGGCTCAGGGAGAGTGACCTAGTAGCGATCAGTGAAGAGGAGGGGCCAGGAGCTCGGACTCGACCCCCACAACCTCAACTAGGTGAGTACAACTAGGTGAGTACACACACACACACACACACACACACACACACACACACACACACACACACACACACACACGCACACACACATAAACTAAACTATAGACCTGTATCATTGACGTGTATTGTATGCAAAGTTATGGAGAAGATTATCAGGAGGAGTGGTGGAGCACCTGGAGCGGAACAAGAGTATAAACACCAACCAGCACGAATTCATGGAAGGTAAATCCTGTGTCACAAACCTTCTGGAGTTTTATGATAAAGTAACAGAAGTAAGACACAAGAGATAGGGGTGGGTTGATTGCATCTTCTTGGACTGCAAGAAGGCCTTTGACACAGTTCCTCACAAGAGATTAGTGCAGAAGCTAGAGGATCAGGCTCATATAACAGGAAGGGCACTGCAATGGATCAGAGAATACCTGACAGGGAGGCAACAACGAGTCATGGTACGTAATGATGTATCACAGTGGGCACCTGTGACGAGCGGGGTCCCACAGGGGTTGATCCTAGGACCAGTGTTATTTTTGGTATATGTGAACGACATGATGGAAGGATTAGACTCAGAAGTGTCCCTGTTTGCAGATGATGTGAAGTTAATGAGGAGAATTAAATCAGATGAGGATCAGGCAGAACTTCAAAGAGACCTGGACAGACTGGACATCTGGTCCAGCAACTGGCTTCTCGAATTTAATCTCGCCAAATGCAAAGTCATGAAGATAGGGGAAGGGCACAGAAGACCGCAGACAGAGTATAGGCTAGGTGGCCAAAGACTGCAAACCTCGCTCAAGGAGAAAGATCTTGGGGTGAGTATAACACCGAGCATGTCTCCGGAAGCAACATCAACCAGATAACTGCTGCAGCATACGGGCACCTGGCAAATCTGAGAACAGCGTTCCGATACCTTAGTAAGGAATCGTTCAAGACACTGTACATCGTGTACGTCAGGCCCATACTGGAGTATGCAGCACCTGTTTGGAACCCGCACTTGATAAAGCACGTCAAGAAACTAGAGAAAGTGCAAAGGTTTGCGACAAGGTTAGTTCCAGAGCTAAGGGGAATGTCTTATGAAGAAAGGTTAAGGGAAATCGGCCTGACGACACTAAAGGACAGGAGGATCAGGGGAGACATGATAACGACATATAAAATACTGCGCGGAATAGACAAGGTGGACAAAGACAGGATGTTCCAGGGAGGGGACACAGAAACAAGAGGTCACAATTGGAAGTTGAAGACAAAGATGAGTCAGAGAGATATTAGGAAGTATTTCTTCAGTCATAGAGTTGTCAGGCAGTGGAATAGCCTAGAAAGTGACGTAGTGGAGGCAGGAACCATACATAGTTTTAAGACGAGGTTTGATAAAGCTCATGGAGCAGGGAGAGAGAGAAAACCCAGTAGCAACCCGTGAAGAGGCGGGGCCAGGAGCTAAGACTCGACCTCTGCAACCACAAATAGGTGAGTACACACACACACACACACACACCATATGTGTTATTAATGAATTGATGTCCTGTGACCTCTGACCTCTGCAGGCACGGGTGTGAAGGTTACGTCTACAACGTGACCAGAGCTGGAGGTCAACCATACCCAGAGGAAATACCCATCTACACAGGGTAGGTCAAATGTGACCTTCACTTTGGCAGGTCAAATAAAGCCTTTAGCCTTTACAGGGTAGGTCAAATAAGGTTATTATTTAATACCTATATTAACAAAAGCTGTTTTATAGTTTTTGCTGTTGTTGGGGAGTTAAGAAGCATTATTACGACTTAGAAGGAAGACACCAGCACAGTCCTGGGCAGTCTGTTGTTGGGGAGTTAAGAAGCATTATTACGACTTAGAAGGAAGACACCACACAGTCCTGGCAGTCTGTTGTTGGGATTAGAAGCATTACCTACACTTAGAAGGAAGACACCAGCACAGTCCTGGGCAGTCAGGCGCTCACACTCTTCCTCATTCCCTGATTGACTTCCCCCAATACAAAAATCTACAAAATTATTATTATATTCATGTGGAAGCAATAAACCTGTAGGGGATCATATAGTGCCAGGGGCTCAGAAGGTTATCTGCTTTGATATATATATGTATATATATATATATATATATATATATATATATATATATATATATATATATATATAATGTCATACAGAATAGGTAAAACTGGTCAATTAGCAAGAACTTATTTAAAATTAAGACCTCAGAGCTGGGGCGCGTGCCCATGGTACAGCAGGTATTACCCCTCTGAACCGCAGCGCTGTGTCGCTGGAACAGAAATCTAGCTGCCCTGGGATCCCTAGTTACCAGTAAAGTTAAAACAAAAAAGAATAATTACCATATAATTAAAAGCATTGAAGCTGGCAGGAGCGTTCATAAGTGACTAAGTTAAGCTTAAGCTCGTGAGTATAGAGAGCTGTAATTTTCAGCTCCATGTGTGAAGGTCAACTGACTAACACTTAAAAGACACCTCGTTCGTAGTGTGATCTTGCTCGCATTCCCAATCTGTGGACGTTAGTGCCTAGTTTATGGTGCGCCCTATATCCAACATGTGGATGGTAGTGGCTAGTTTACGGTGTGCCCTATATCCAATATATGGACGGTAGTGGCTAGTTTATGGTGTGCCCTATATCCAACTTGTGGACGGTAGTGGATAGTTTATGGTACGCCCTATATCCAACCTGTGGACGGTAGTGGCTAGATTATGGTGTGCCCTATATCCAACCTGTGGACGGTAGTGGCTAGTTTATGGTGCGCCCTATATCCAACCTGTGGACGGCAATGACTAGTTTATGGTGCACCCTATATCCAACCTGTGGACGGTAGTGGCTAGTTTATGATGCTCCCAATAACCAACCTGTGGGTGGTAGTGGCTTGTCTATGGTGCACCCTATAACCAACCTGTGGACGGTAGTGGCTAGTTTATGGTGCACCCTATAACAAACATGTGGACGGTAGTGGCTAGTTTATGGTGCATCCTATAACCAACATGTGGACGGTAGTGGCTAGTTTATGGTGCATCCTATAACCAACATGTGGATGGTAGTGGCTAGTTTATGGTGCGCCCCATAACCAACATGTGGATGGTAGTGGCTAGTTTATGGTGCGCCCTATAACCAACCTGTGGGTGGAAGTGGCTAGTTTATGGTGCGCCCTATAACCAACCTGTGGGTGGTAGTGTCTAGTTTATGGTGCGCCCTATAACCAACCTGTGGGTGGAAGTGGCTAGTTTATGGTGCGCCCTATAACCAACCTGTGGGTGGAAGTGGCTAGTTTATGGTGCGCCCTATAACCAACCTGTGGGTGGAAGTGGCTAGTTTATGGTGCGCCCTATAACCAACCTGTGGGTGGTAGTGTCTAGTTTATGGTGCGCCCTATAACCAACCTGTGGGTGGAAGTGGCTAGTTTATGGTGCGTCCTATAACCAACCTGTGGGTGGTAGTGTCTAGTTTATGGTGCGTCCTATAACCAACATGTGGATGGTAGTGGCTAGTTTATGGTGCGCTCTATAACCAACCTGTGGGTGGAAGTGGCTAGTTTACCACACGTCCTATAACCAACCTGTGGGTGGTAGTGTCTAGTTTATGGTGCGTCCTATAACCAACCTGTGGGTGGAAGTGTCTAGTTTACCACACGTCCTATAACCAACCTGTGGGTGGTAGTGTCTAGTTTATGGTGCGTCCTATAACCAACCTGTGGGTGGAAGTGTCTAGTTTATGGTGCGTCCTATAACCAACATGTGGATGGTAGTGGCTAGTTTATGGTGCGCTCTATAACCAACCTGTGGGTGGAAGTGGCTAGTTTACCACACGTCCTATAACCAACCTGTGGGTGGTAGTGTCTAGTTTATGGTGCGTCTATAACCACCTGTGGGTGGAGTGTCTAGTTTACCACACGTCCTATAACCAACCTGTGGGTGGTAGTGTCTAGTTTATGGTGCGTCCTATAACCAACCTGTGGGTGGAAGTGGCTAGTTTACCACACGTCCTATAACCAACCTGTGGGTGGTAGTGTCTAGTTTATGGTGCGTCCTATAACCAACATGTGGATGGTAGTGGCTAGTTTATGGTGAGCCCTATAACCAACCTGTGGGTGGAAGTGGCTAGTTTACCACACGTCCTATAACCAACCTGTGGGTGGTAGTGTCTAGTTTATGGTGCGTCCTATAACCAACATGTGGATGGTAGTGGCTAGTTTATGGTGAGCCCTATAACCAACCTGTGGGTGGTAGTGGCTAGTTTATACCACACGTCCTATATCCATCCTTTGGACGGTAGCGGCTAATTTATTGCGTCTGGAGTAAGACAGACCAAGACAAGAGATACCAAGCCGGTGATAATATTCTCGGAATACTGCCATCATTAACAGCCTCGTAAATTAGCTGGTGAAATTTCAGCTCTGCAGAGAGAACGTTCCTCTTCGCCTTTATTCGGCTAAATTAATGGGACTGCCTAAATTTCTTTCAATTGTACTGACTGGACCCCAAGTAACAATTAACATTATGATAATCAACATCTAAAACAAGATGATCGAGGGATTGGTTTCAAACCTAATGCTGTATTAAATCTTCATGGGAGGGAGGCATGGGAGACAGGGCAAAGTAATCCCTATGAAAATCGGTAAACGAGAAAAAAAAATACAAAAGAAAAATCTTTGGAAAAAAATAAGAAAATGTTTACGGATAAAAATATTTAACAGAACAACAATCGACAGGAAAAAAATCCGACTCTTACATTCCTGGTTCAGGTTAAGTCATGTTATGATTTGTTTGGTTAATTTTTTCCACAGATTTTTTTCTTGGATTTTTCTTTCCTTTGATTTCTTTTGGTGGGGATTTTTTCCTAGACTCATAAGAATCAAGGGGTAGCAAGTGCAGTCAGTCAAAGCTCAACTAGCACAAGGGGGCCAAGACTTTTCAGTATGTATCATGTATTAGAATAATTGATAGATTAGACACATGTACAACACTTGGGAATGTTTATCGCGGGAACCTTTCGCCACACAGTGGCTTCATCAGTCCAATACAAAGAATAGTGAAGATTGGAAGGAGAATGAGGTAATCAGTCCCTCATCCCAGAATCGATGTAATCAGTCCATTAATCTTAACAAAAATACAGCATATGTGCGATAAGGGGCTTATAAGTCCCTTGTCTGTTCTCTGAGCCATTTATCTACATTAGAATAATTCCGCCTCTTTACCTGTCTTCAGTAGTAACCTTATTGAGCTTTCTCCAGACCACTCTAGATCAGCCAGGCTGTAGTGTCTTCAAGATGTAGCAAGGTTGAAGAATAAGACACACTTGCCTGTCTTTGTTGCCGAAATGTTTCGTTAACGCAAGAAGTTTCTTCAGTCCAATACAAGCGAATAGAAGACTAGAAACATGGATAGCCACAGGTTTATGCTTTAGGCTGGAGGGACTGACCTCCTCCTACCAAAACAACCTCTACTCTCTCCAGTGTTATTCATCTACATATTCACCTGTACTCGACTGAAGAAGCTTAGTGTGTAAGAGAAACATTTCGACAATGAAGATATCCAAGTGTTGCACATATATCTTATGCATCAACTTGTTAATATTGTATATCATCAAGTGTGAGTAGGTCCCAGCTACTTAGTTTCTTAGATTTACAACTTACTAAGCTAGTATTGATCTTAAAGTTCCAATTTCAATCCTACAACTGGTGTTGAAGTGAACTCTGTTTATATACACGACCTGTTCTCTCCACCTAAGCAAAGCCTCCATACAGTCACTTGACCTGTCCCTTCCTCTCTCTCAACATGATTTTTGGTGTGCTGGTCGTCAAGGTCGCAGTGGTCAGTGATGAGTCGTGACCTGGTGGACTACGCGGTGACCTGGGATCGTAGGTCAGGTACCATCAACCGTTGGCACTACCACTTGCAGACCTCCATCATACCTGACGAGTCCTACTTCCCCACCGTCGCTAAGAACTCTCCATATGCGTAAGTACATGCCACGCCGTGTACCTGAGAGGGTGTGTACTCACCTAACTGTACCCACGTACCCACCTATTTGTGGTTGCAGGGGTCGATTCATAGCTCCTGAATATTGTGTGTCAGTCTACATGATCGTTACAGCAAAATTAGAGTCAAACCAGCAAACTGATGACACGGTAGGAATCAATACCACAAACTTACCCTAAAATTGGTGTAAAATCACTGGCCAGAAAATGAGTGTTAACTAGTGATATATTTATTTTCCCAACAGCTATTATTTCCAGTACCCATATCCAGAAGCACCGTCTAAATAGACGATCTATTTACATGCATCATTTAGCTAACCCACCTATCCCAGGTGATTCACTATCTACCTTCGTCTGGCAGGAACCAGACCTTGTCACTGGGGTTCCACTGGCTGAGGAAGTTCGAAGGTCGCAACACTATCAATCTCTGCCGACACATGGAGGACACAGACTTCTGTGGGCAGGTGGGTCTTCAGCCCTGTGTACTTCCCTTCTTTCGGTAGAGAAATAAAAAATAAACGACTTTCTGCTAGATAAAAGAGCAGTTGAGCTTCTTGTTGAGCCGAGACTAAAAGATATAGTAAACCAAAGACACTTTAAGGAGGGAAAAAACAAAATCTTACAACGTTCCTCCCGGAGTCGGGCATTATCAATTACCTAATTAAATCGTACAGTTGGAGAAAAATTCTACTTTGGGGAAAACTTCGTAATAACTTGTGCTTTGGTAGCTGCGTGATCCATCTTTGTACAACGCCATTCCTCTGTGCCCTGTGTCTTAATATACATGATAGGAATAGTGCAGAGTGTGCCATAGGTTTGCAATGTAGTTAAATATTAGCGTTGAAGATCCGAAGCGAATCAGTAGAAGCCTTCAATGGTTATCACATCGAAAACTGTTCCAATATCTTCCATTAAAAATGATAAATTAGGACATACACGCCCCAACACTAATTCCAACCTTCCACTAAGAAGCACCAGTTCTGAAGCCAAACTGAAGAGGCATTCTCTCGTTATATCAGAAAAACCCTTATCCTAAAATACATTAAGACGGAAGCCACTATGATTTTGCAAAATCAGTGTCAAAGGGTAAAGGCACTTGGACGAGACACTCAGAAATTATCTCGTGAAAACCAATATTCTTATTTTCCAATTTCTTTTATAACTAAATAAGGTAAATTGGGGCCTACACAAACTAAAACCAATCTACACCTATTGTGTAAGCAAGATCGCCAGTGTTTAAGGAGTAAGTAAGAGGCGAGGAATTGAGTAAGGAATTAAGTAAAGTAAATAAATAGGTTTTGTTTAAGTTTTACATAAGATGCAAATTTTTAACAATGATCTTGAGAGCAAACAAAATGTTTTAGACATATAAAAGTACAGGATAAACAAATAAAATAAACAATACTGTGATTTACAGTGTTTGTGATCGCAAAAAAACTTTCTCCAGTTATTTCACGGAAACTAATTTGATTAATAAAATTATCACATTATAAACTTACATAATCTGACATATGAAGGAGAAGCTTCACTGATCTTATTAATGATAGATGCTGTACTAAATTATTTTATTTTAATCAGGAAAAAACGTTAAATCCATAGGGTCGTACAGTGCGTGTGGAATGGGACGCATTCTGATTCGATCCTTGGGGAAGGGATAAATCCAATTCCTTGGATCAGGAACTCTTTAGCAGGATAAGAAATCCCTTTGAGGAGGCATACTGCAATTATTTAATACAAAATGCTATTTCGAGACTAAGAGGGGCTGGGTTTGATTGGTGTCGTGGGTACAGGAGTAAATTCTTGGGGTGGCTTTATGTAGGAGTGGTTTTGATAAGGACCCGCCTTGTATGGGCCAGTAGGCCTTCTGCAGTGTTCCTCCATTCTTATGCTCTTATGTAAAGTGGTAGCTATACACTCGGCTAGCAATACTAACTTACTTCTAGGTAGAATACACCAATGTGGAAATTTTTAAGCCGATCAGAAGTGTCTAACTATAGTTATCCCATCAAAATCATTTACGAAAATGGTCTATATAAAACCGAGCAACGGACACCTTTGATTTGTCATTTTGTTCAAGAACCTCAACAAGTTGTGGGTCACCGGGGTTCAAAATGTGAAGCCGATAAGTTGGAGGAAGTTAGTGGAAGATAAGAAGACAACAGCTAACTAACACTATCACGTCACTGCTAACACTATCACGTCACTGCTAACACTATCACGTCACTGCTAACACTATCACGTCACTACTAACCACTATCACGTCACTGCTAACACTATCACGTCACTGCTAACACTATCACGTCACTGCCAACACTATCACGTCCCTGCTAACACTATCACGTCACTGCTAACACTACCACGTCACTGCTAACAATATCACGTCACTGCCAACACTATCACGTCATACTAACACTATCACGTCACTGCTAACACATCACGTCACTGCTAACACTATCAACGTCACTGCCAACACTCTCACGTCCTGCTAACACTATCACGTCACTGCTAACACTAAAAACGTCACTGCTAACACTATCACGTCACGTGCCAACTTCTATCACGTCACGCCAACACTATCACGTCACTGCTAACACTATCATGTCACTGCTAACACTATCAGGTCACTGCCAACACTATCACGTCACTGCTAACACTATCACGTCACTGCTAACAATATCACGTCACTGCTAACACTGTCACGTCACTGCTAACACTATCACGTCACTGCCAACACTATCACGTCACCTGCCAACATATCACGTCACTGCTAACACACTATCACGTCACTGCTAACACTATCACGTCACTGCTAAAGCTATCACGTCACTACTAACACTATCACGTCACTACTAACACTATCACGTCACTGCTAACACTATCACGCCACTGCTAACACTATCACGTCGCTGCCAACACTATCACGTCGCTACTAACACTATCAGGTCACTACTAACACTATCACGTAACTGCCAACACTATCACGTCACTGCTAACACATACATCACGTACACCCTGCAACTAACGCATACACTCACGTCAACTGCCAACAACTATCACGTCACTGCCAACACTATCACGAGTTCACCTACTAACACTATCACGTCACTACTAACACTATCACGTCACTGCTAACACTATCACGTAACTGCTAACACTATCACATCACTACTAACACTATCACGTCACTACTAACACTATCACGTCACTACTAACACTATCACGTCACCTGCTAACACCTATCACGTCACTGCTAACACTATCACGTCACTACTAACACTAACACGTCACTACTAATACGATCACGTCACTACTAAGACTATCACGTCACTACTAAGACTATCACGTCACTACTAAGACTATCACGTCACTGCCAACACTATCACGTCACTGCTAACACTATCACGTCACTGCTAACACTATCACGTCACTGCTAACACTATCACGTCACTGCTAACACTATCACGTCACTGCTAACACTATCACGTCACTGCTAACACTATCACGTCACTGCTAACACTATCACATCACTACTATAATCGTACTATCACCGTCACTACTAACACTATCACGTCACTGCTAACACTATCACGTCACTGCTAACACTATCACGTCACTGCTAACACTATCACGTCACTGCTGACACTATCACGTCACTGCTAACACTAACACGTCACTACTAATACGATCACGTCACTACTAAGACTATCAACGTCATCTACTAAACTATACGTCACTACTAAGACTATCACGTCACTAGCACAAACACTATCACGTCACTGCTAACTCTATTCACGTCCACTGGTAACACTATCACGTCACTGCTAACACTATCACGTCACTGCTAACACTATCACGTCACTGCTAACACTATCACGTCACTGCTAACACTACCACGTCACTGCTAACACTAACACATCACTACTAACACTATCACGTCACTGCTAACACTATCACGTCACTGCTAACACTATCAACGTCACTGCCAACACTATCACGTCACTGCTAACAACTATCCACGTCACTGCTAAACACTATCACGTCACTGCTAACACTATCACGTCACTGCTAACACTACCACGTCACTACTAACACTATCACGTCACTGCCAACACTATCACGTCACTGCTAACACTATCACGTCACTGCTAACACTATCACATCAGAGCTAACACTATCACGTCACTGCCAACACTATCACGTCACTGCTAACACTATCACGTCACTGCCAACACTATCACGTCACTGCTAAACATTATCACGTCACTTGCCAACACATATCACGTCCACTCATGCTAACACTATCACGTCACTGCTAATACTATCACGTCACTGCCAACACTATCACGTCCATCACTGCTACACTATCACGTCACTGCCAACACTATCACGTCACTGCCAACACTATCACGTCACTGCTAACACTATCACGTCACTGCTAACACTATCACGTCACTGCCAACACTATCACGTCACTGCCTAACACTATCACGTCACTGCTAACACTATCACGTCACTACTAACACTATCACGTCACTGCTAACATTATCACGTCACTACTAACACTATCACGTCACTGCTAACACTATCACGTCATTGCCAACACTATCACGTCACTGCTAACACTATCACGTCACTACTAACACTATCACGTCACTGCTAACACTATCATGTCACTACTAACACTATCACGTCACTGCTAACACTATCACGTCACTGCCAACACTATCACGTCACTGCTAACACTATCACGTCACTACTAACACTATCACGTCACTGCCAACACTATCACGTCACTGCCAACACTATCACGTCACTGCTAACACTATCACGTCACTACTAACACTATCACGTCACTGCTAACACTATCACGTCACTGCCAACACTATCACGTCACTACTAACAGCTAGTACTGCAGTGTAGGGTTTAAGGGTTCACTATGCTCATGAAAATTTAAAATATAAAAAATCTACAAGTTTTCAATATTTCTGAGTTTTCTTTCAGCATTTACGTTCTGTTTACACTTCTCCAGACACACGTAGGGAAAGTGTATTTAATTTTGTGCATTTTAAGAAAGTACAATTTAATATATTTTTTCAATACAATTTATTCCCAATTGAAACACATCTGTGTTTAAGTGTTATAGCAAGTTACATCAGACCTTGTGTAGTGTTTACAAGTTACAACAGACCTTGTGTAGTGTTTACAAGTTACAACAGACCTTGTGTAGTGTTTACAAGTTACAACAGATCTTGTGTAGTGTTTACAAGTCACAACAGACCTTGTGTAGTGTTTACAAGTTACAACAGACCTTGTGTAGTGTTTACAAGTTACAAGAGACCTTGTGTAGTGTTTACAAGTTACAAGAGACCTTGTGTAGTGTTTACAAGTTACAAGAGACCTTGTGTAGTGTTTACAAGTTACAACAGACCTTGTGTAGTGTTTACAAGTTACAACAGACCTTGTGTAGTGTTTACAAGTCACAACAGACCTTGTGTAGTGTTTACAAGTTACAACAGACCTTGTGTAGTGTTTACAAGTTACAACAGACCTTGTGTAGTGTTTACAAGTTACAACAGACCTTGTGTAGTGTTTACAAGTTACAACAGACCTTGTGTAGAGTTTACAAGTCACAACAGACCTTGTGTAGTGTTTACAAGTTACAACAGACCTTGTGTAGTGTTTACAAGTCACAACAGACCTTGTGTAGTGTTTACAAGTTACAACTGACCTTGTGTAGTGTTTACAAGTCACAACAGACCTTGTGTAGTGTTTACAAGTCACAACAGACCTTGTGTAGTGTTTACAAGTCACAACAGACCTTGTGTAGTGTTTACAAGTCACAACAGACCTTGTGTAGTGTTTACAAGTTACAGCAGACCTTGTGTAGTGTTTACAAGTTACAACAGACCTTGTGTAGTGTTTACAAGTTACAACAGACCTTGTGTAGTGTTTAGAAATCACAACAGACCTTGTGTAGTGTTTACAAGTCACAACAGACCTTGTGTAGTGTTTAGAAGTTACAACAGACCTTGTGTAGTGTTTACAAGTCACAACAGACCTTGTGTAGTGTTTACAAGTCACAACAGACCTTGTGTAGTGTTTAGAAGTTACAACAGACTTTGTGTAGTGTTTACAAGTCACAACAGACCTTGTGTAGTGTTTACAAGTCACAACAGACTTTCTGTAGTGTTTACAAGTCACAACAGACCTTGTGTAGGGTTTAGAAATCACAACAGACCTTGTGTAGTGTTTCCAAGTCACAACAGACCTTGTGTAGTGTTTACAAGTTACAACAGACCTTGTGTAGTGTTTACAAGTCACAACAAACCTTGTGTAGTGTTTACAAGTCACAACAGACCTTGTGTAGTGTTTACAAGTCACAACAGACCTTGTGTAGTGTTTACAAGTCACAACAGACCTTGTGTAGTGTTTACAAGTCACAACAGACCTTGTGTAGTGTTTACAAGTCACAACAGACCTTGTGTAGTGTTTACAAGTCACAACAGACCTTGTGTTGTGTTTAGAAATCACAACAGACCTTGTGTAGTGTTTACAAGTCACAACAGACCTTGTGTAGTGTTTACAAGTCACAACAGACCTTGTGTAGTGTTTACAAGTCACAACAGACCTTGTGTAGTGTTTAGAAGTTACAACAGACCTTTTGTAGTGTTTACAAGTCACAACAGACCTTGTGCAGTGTTTACAAGTCACAACAGACCTTGTGTAGTGTTTACAAGTCACAACAGACCTTGTGTAGTGTTTGCAAGTCACAACAGACCTTGTGTAGTGTTTACAAGTCCCAACAGACCTTGTGTAGTGTTTACAAGTCACAACAGACCTTGTGTAGTGTTTAGAAGTTACAACAGACCTTGTGTAGTGTTTACAAGTCACAACAGACCTTGTGTAGTGTTTACAAGTTACAACAGACCTTGTGTAGTGTTTACAAGTCACAACAGACCTTGTGTAGTGTTTACAAGTCACATCAGACCTTGTATAGTGTTTACAAGTCACAACAGACCTCGTGTAGTGTTTACGAGTCACAACAGACCTTGTGTACTGTTTACAAGTCACAACAGACCTTGTGTAATGTTTAGAAGTTACAACAGACCTTGTGTAGTGTTTACAAGTTACAACAGACCTTGTGTAGTGTTTACAAGTCACAACAGACCTTGTGTAGTGTTTACAAGTCACAACAGACCTTGTGTAGTGTTTACAAGTCACAACAGACCTTGTGTAGTGTTTAGAAGTTACAACAGACCTTGTGTAGTGTTTACAAGTCACAACAGACCTTGTGCAGTGTTTACAAGTCACAACAGACCTTGTGTAGTGTTTACAAGTCACAACAGACCTTGTGTAGTGTTTACAAGTCACAACAGACCTTGTGTAGGGTTTAGAAATCACAACAGACCTTGTGTAGTGTTTACAAGTCACAACAGACCTTGTGTAGTGTTTAGAAGTTACAACAGACCTTGTGTAGTGTTTACAAGTCACAACAGACCTTGTGTAGTGTTTACAAGTCACAACAGACCTCGTGTAGTGTTTACGAGTCACAACAGACCTTGTGTAGTGTTTACAAGTTGCAACAGACCTTGTGTAGTGTTTACAAGTTACAACTGACCTTGTGTAGTGTTTACAAGTTACAACAGACCTTGTGTAGTGTTTACAAGTCACAACAGACCTTGTGTAGTGTTTACAAGTCACAACAGACCTTGTGTAGTGTTTACAAGTCACAACAGACCTTGTGTAGTGTTTACAAGTTACAAAAGACCTTGTGTAGTGTTTACAAGTCACAACAGACCTTGTGTAGTGTTTACAAGTTACAACAGACCTTGTGTAGTGTTTACAAGTCACATCAGACCTTGTGTAGTGTTTACAAGTCACAACAGACCTTGTGTAGTGTTTACAAGATACAACAGACCTTGTGTAGTGTTTACAAGATACAACAGACCTTGTGTAGTGTTTACAAGTCACAACAGACCTTGTGTAGTGTTTACAAGCCACAACAGACCTTGTGTAGTGTTCACAAGTCACAACAGACCTTGTGTAGTGCTTACAAGTCACAACAGACCTTGTGTAGTGTTTACAAGCCTCAACAGACCTTGTGTAGTGTTTACAAATCACATCAGACCTTGTGTAGTGTTTACAAGTCACAACAGACCTTGTGTAGTGTTTACAAGATGCAACAGACCTTGTGTAGTGTTTACAAGTCGTAACAGACCTTGTGTAGTGTTTACAAGCCACAACAGACCTTGTGTAGTGTTCACAAGTTACAACAGACCTTGTGTAGTGTTTACAAATTACAACAGACCTTTTGTAGTGTTTACAAGTCACAACAGTCCTTGTGTAGTGTTTACAAGTCACAACAGACCTTGTGTAGTGTTTACAAGTCACAACAGACCTTGTGTAGTGTTTACAAGTTACAACAGACCTTGTATAGCGTTTACAAGTCACAACAGACCTTGTGTAGTGTTTACCAGTTACAACAGACCTTGTGTAGTGTTTAGAAATCACAACAGACCTTGTGTAGTGTTTACAAATCACAACAGACCTTGTGTAGTGTTTACAAGTCACAACAGATCTTGTGTAGTGTTTACAAGTCACAACAGACCTTGTGTAGTGTTTACAAGTCACAACAGACCTTGTGTAGTGTATACAAATCACATCAGACCTTGTGTAGTGTTTACAAGTCACAACAGACCTTGTGTAGTGTTTACAAGATACAACAGACCTTGTGTAGTGTTTACAAGTCATAACAGACCTTGTGTAGTGTTTACAAGCCACAACAGACCTTGTGTAGTGTTCACAAGTCACAACAGACCTTGTGTAGTGTTTACAAGTCACAACAGACCTTGTGTAGTGTTTACAAGTCACAACAGACCTTGTGTAGTGTTTACAAATCACATCAGACTTTGTGTAGTGTTTACAAGTCACAACAGACCTTGTGTAGTGTTTACAAGATACAACAGACCTTGTGTAGTGTTTGCAAGTCATAACAGACCTTGTGTAGTGTTCACAAGTCACAACAGACCTTGTGTAGTGTTTACAAGTCACAACAGACCTTGTGTAGTGTTTACAAGTCACAACAGACCGTGTGTAGTGTTTACAAGTCACAACAGACCTTGTGTAGTGTTTACAAGTCACAACAGACCTTGTGTAGTGTTTACAAGATACAACAGACCTTGTGTAGTGTTTACAAGTCACAACAGACCTTGTGTAGTGTTCACAAGTCACAACAGACCTTGTGTAGTGTTTACAAGTCACAACAGACCTTGTGTAGTGTTTACAAGTCACAACAGACCTTGTGTAGTGTTTACAAGGAAACAAATTTATATAATAATATTGGCCAACTAAAATTTACACAACTCAAAATGAAAGCTAAACTTTCTCGTAATAAATCCATCAAAGTTGAAAGTTTGAATACTTATCAGGAAAATCATTTTCCAAGAATTGATCTAAATCCAATAACTCCGACTGTTTTTTTTTTTTAAATTTCAGCCTAAGCTTATAAATGTCATTTTTCTTATGGAATGCACCAGCATCCATATTTTAAACCACATTAGATTAAACTTTTTTTTTTAACATTGAGTGGAAACCAATATCACTATTTATGTAATATTGACAAGTTGAGTTTTTTTTAACTCAGTAACAACGTGACTCTGGACAACACATCAGGACTCTTAATATCAACACGAGCAGAAGAAATATTCTCCGGTTATCACACAGATTTTTAACAATTCCAAGTTTACTAACTAATATAGTGAATAACAAAAAAATGCACAATACCGTGACTGGAACAATACATAAATAACGAGCACATGGAAGAGACTTTGTATATGGTCTAAGTCGGACCGAAACGTCGTTTTAAGTTCCTCTCTTCTATGTGCGAGTTATTTGTGTTTAGTATAGTGAAAGATCCGACATACAAACTAAACTTAACGGGTGATATTCTCTTTGCAAGATGCGTCACCCATTATAGTCTTTCTGAAGAGGTAAATTTAATTTTATTTAACATGATTTAACGTGAATAGAAATTTCGCACTATCTCACACGTAAATGAAATGTGTACCTACACGCTTCATTTTCACTCTCCGCTGTTGTCGAGGAACGATCCACCTTTGTGAACATTTGAAACGAAGCAACAGAGGATTTTAATAGTTATTTGAGCCAGTCCAGCAATCTTGGCATGGCTTCTACAACCTTGATAACATTGCACCTACACATAACAACACTTGAAAATATCCCATTGAGCCTAATATAGTTTTTTCCTCGCTTAAAGTGTCTTACAACTTTCTTGATCAACTTAAATATACACTCTGTAAAGTTATTGTAATATGTTTAACTCCCACAGGGTCCTGGGCCCATCGACGAGGCAGACATGACTGAGATGATTGAGTCTTCTCACCGGTATTTCTTCGCTAGGAAGTTCCACACCCACACCACCTACCACCCCACCAGGAACATGGTCAGTACCTCACCCACACCACCTACCACCCCACCAGGAACATGGTCAGTACCTCACCCACACCACCTACCACCCCACCAGGAACATGGTCAGTACCTCACCACACACCACCTACCACCCCACCAGGAACATGGTCAGTACCTCACCCACACCACCCACCACCCCACCAGGAACATGGTCAGTACCTCACCCACACCACCTACCACCCCACCAGGAACATGGTCAGTACCTCACCCACACCACCGACCACCCCACCAGGAACATGGTCAGTACGTCACCCACACCACCTACCACCCCACCAGGAACATGGTCAGTACCTCACCCACACCACCGACCACCCCACCAGGAACATGGTCAATACGTCACCCACACCACCGACCACCCCACCAGGAACATGGTCAGTACCTCACCACACCACCCGACCACCCCACCAGGAACATGGCCAATACGTCACCCACACCACCGACCACCCCACCAGGAACATGGTCAGTACCTCACCCACACCACCGACCACCCCATTAGGAACATGGTCAGTCCCTCACCCACACCACCTACCACCCCACCAGGAACATGGTCAGTACCTCACCCACACCACCGACCACCCCACCAGGAACATGGTCAGTACGTCACCCACACCACCTTCCACCCCACCAGGAACATGGTCAGTACCTCACCCACACCACCGACCACCCCACCAGGAACATGGTCAATACGTCACCCACACCACCGACCACCCCACCAGGAACATGGTCAGTACCTCACCCACACCACCGACCACCCCACCAGGAACATGGTCAATACGTCACCCACACCACCGACCACCCCACCAGGAACATGGTCAGTACCTCACCCACACCACCGACCACCCCATTAGGAACATGGTCAGTACCTCACCCACACCACCTACCACCCCACCAGGAACATGGTCAGTACCTCATCCACACCACCTACCACCCCACCAGGAACATGGTCAGTACCTCTCCCACACCACCTACCACCCCACCAGGAACATGGTCAGTACCTCACCCACACCACCCACTACCCACCACCCCACCAGGAACATGGTCAGAACCTCACCCACACCACCTACCACCCCACCAGGAACATGGTCAGTACCTCCTCCCACACCACTACACACCCCACCAGGAACATGGTCAGTACCTCACCCACACCACCCACCACCCACCACCCAACCAGAAACATGGTCAGTACCTCATCCACACCACCTACCACCCCACCAGGAACATGATCAGTACCTCACCCACACCACCTACCACCTCACCAGGAACATGGTCAGTACCTCACCCACACCACCCACCACCCACCACCCCACCAGGAACATGGTCAGAACCTCACCCACACCACCTACCACCCCACCAGGAACATGGTCAGTACCTCACCTACACCACTGACCACCCCACCAGGAACATGTTCAGTACCTCACCCACACCACCCACCACCCCACCAGGAACATGGTCAATACGTCACCCACACCACCTACCACCCCACCAGGAACATGGTCAGTACCTCACCCACACCACCCACCACCCCACCAGGAACATGGTCAGTACCTCACCCACACCACCTACCACCCCACCAGGAACATGATCAGTACCTCACCCACACCACCCACCACCCCACCAGGAACATGGTCAGTACCTCACCCACACCACCTACCACCCCACCAGGAACATGGTCAGTACCTCACCCACACCACCCACCACCCCACCAGGAACATGGTCAGTACCTCACCCACACCACCGACCACCCCACCAGAAACATGGTCAGTACCTCACCTACACCACCTACCACCCCACCAGGAACATGGTCAGTACCTCACCCACACCACTACCACCCCACCAGGAACATGGTCAGTACCTCACCCACACCACCCACCACCCCACCTGGAACATGGTCAGTACCTCACCCACACCACCTACCACCCCACCAGGAACATGGTCAGTACCTCACCCACACCACCCACCACCCCACCAGGAACATGGTCAGTACCTCACCCACACCACCTACCACCCCACCAGGAACATGGTCAGTATGTCACCCACACCACCTACCACCCCACCAGGAACATGGTCAGTACCTCACCCACACCACCGACCACCCCACCAGGAACATGGTCAGTACCTCACCCACACCACCTACCACCCCACCAGGAACATGGTCAGTACCTCACCCACACCACCTACCACCCCACCAGGAACATGGTCAGTACCTCACCCACACCACCGACCACCCCACCAGGAACATGGTCAGTTTGTCATCCTCTGTTTTTTAGAGTTGTACCTCCGTCCTTCTGGCATTTTCAATACCAAGAGCTTGCAGCGCCCCCTCTCTACCCTCCCTAGAAGGCAGACCTACATCTCTTCTAGTTGTAAAATTTAAGTACAGGCTAAGTACAAGCTAGGTACACCAGAACATGCCACGTACAAGCCTGGCATACCACCACATGGTACGTACTAGCCAAGCATGCCACCACATGCTACGTAGAAGCCAGGCATACCACAATATGCTACTACAAGCCAGGCATACCACAACATGCTAGGAAATAAGTGAGCTACTCAAGTCCCAATATGACTCAGTTTTTAGCAAACCGCTAACCAGGCTGAGAGTCGAAGATCAAAATGAATTTTTTATGAGAGAGCCACAGAATTTGGTTAACACAAGCCTATCTGATGTTATCCTGACGCCAAATGACTTCGAACAGGCGATAAATGACATGCCCATGCACTCTGCCCCAGGGCCAGACTCATGGAACTCCGTGTTCATCAAGAACTGCAAGAAGCCCCTATCACGAGCTTCTACCATCCTATGGAGAGGGAGCATGGACACGGGGGTCGTCCCACAGTTACTAAAAACAACAGACATAGCCCCACTCCACAAAGGGGGCAGTAAAGCAGTAGCAAAGAACTACAGACCGATAGTACTAAGATCCCATATCATAAAAATCTTTGAAAGGGTCCTAAGAAGCAAGATCACCACCCATCTAGAAACCCATCAATTACACAACCCAGGCAACATGGGTTTAGAACAGGTCGTTCCTGTTTGTCACAACTATTGGATCACTACGACAAGCTCCTAGATGCACTAGAAGACAAAAAGAATGCAGATGTAATATATACAGACTTTGCAAAAGCCTTCGACAGGTGTGACCATGGAGTAATAGCGCACAAAATGCGTGCTAAAGGAATAACAGGAAAAGTCGGTCGATGGATCTATGATTTCCTCACTAACAGAACACAGAGAGTAGTCGTCAACAGAGTAAAGTCCGAGGCAGCTACGGTGAAAAGCTCTGTTCCACAAGGCACAGTACTCGCTCCCATCTTGTTCCTCATCCTCATATCTGACATAGACAAGGATGTCAGCCACAGCACCGTGTCTTCCTTTGCAGATGACACCCGAATCTGCATGACAGTGTCTTCCATTGCAGACACTGCAAGGCTCCAGGCGGACATCAACCAAATCTTTCAGTGGGCTGCAGAAAACAATATGAAGTTCAATGATGAGAAATTTCAATTACTCAGATATGGTAAACACGAGGAAATTAAATCTTCATCAGAGTACAAAACAAATTCTGGCCACAAAATAGAGCGAAACACCAACGTCAAAGACCTGGGAGTGATCATGTCGGAGGATCTCACCTTCAAGGACCATAACATTGTATCAATCGCATCTGCTAGAAAAATGACAGGATGGATAATGAGAACCTTCAAAACTAGGGAGGCCAAGCCCATGATGACACTCTTCAGGTCACTTGTTCTATCTAGGCTGGAATATTGCTGCACACTAACAGCACCTTTCAAGGCAGGTGAAATTGCTGACCTAGAAAATGTACAGAGAACCTTCACGGCGCGCAAAACGGAGATAAAACACCTCAATTACTGGGAGCGCTTGAGGTTCCTGAACCCGTATTACCTGGAACGCAGGCGGGAGAGATACATGATTATATACACCTGGAAAATCCTAGAGGGACTAGCACCGATCTTGCACAAGAAAATCACTCACTACGAAAGCAAAAGACTTGGCAGACGATGCAACATCCCCCCAATGAAAAGCAGGGGTGTCACTAGCACGTTAAGAGACCATACAATAAGTGTCAGGGGCCCGAGACTGTTCAACTGCCTCCCAGCATACATAAGGGGGATTACCAACAGACCCCTGGCAGTCTTCAAGCTGGCACTGGACAAGCACCTAAAGTCGGTTCCTGACCAGCTGGGCTGTGTCTCGTAGGTTGGTTTGCGTGCAGCCAACAGTAAGAGCCTGGTTGATCAGGCTCTGATCCACCAGGAGGCCTGGTCACAGACCGGGCCGCGGGGGCGTTGACCCCCGGAACTCTCTCCAGGTAAACTCCAGGTACAAACCAGGCATACCACAATATGCTACGTACAAACTAGGCATACTTCAACATGCTACGTACAAACCAGGCATACCACCACATGCTACGTACAAGCCAGGCATACCACCACATGTTACGTACAAGCCAGGTATGCCTCATCATGCTGTGTATAAGCCAGGCATACCACAACATGCTACGTACAAGCCAGCATACCTCAACAACCTACGTACAAGCCAGGCATACCACAACATGCTACGTACAAGCCAGGCATACCACAACATCCTACGTACAAGCCAGGCATACCACAACATGCTATGTACAAGCCAGGCATACCTCAACATGCTACGCACAAGCCAGGCATACCACAATGTGCTACGTACAAGCCAGGCATACCACAACATGCTACGTACAAGCCAGGCATACCTCAACATGCTACGTATAGGCCAGGCACACCACAACATGCACCTTACAAGCCAGGCATACCACAACATGCTACGTACAAGCCAGGCATACCACAACTTCCTACGTACAAGCAAGGCATACCACCACATGCTACGTACAAGCTAGGCACACCACAACATGCTACGTACAAGCCAAGCACACCACAACATGCTACGTACAAGCCAGGCACACCACAACATGCTACATACAAGCCAGACACACCATAACATGCTACGTACAAGCCAAGCACACCACAACATGCTACGTACAAGCCAGGCACACCACAACATGCTACGTACAAGCCAGGCACACCACAACATGCTACGTGCAAGCCAAAACACACCACAACATGCTACGTACAAGCCAGGCACACCACAACATGCTACGTACAAGCCAGGCACACCACAACATGCTACGTACAAGCCAGGCACACCACAACATGCTACGTACAAGCCAGGCACACCACAACATGCTACGTGCAAGCCAAACACACCACAACATGCTACGTACAAGCCAGGCACACCACAACATGCTACGTACAAGCCAGGCACACCACAACATGCTACATACAAGCCAGGCACACCACAACATGCTACGTACAAGCCAGGCACACCACAACATGCTACGTACAAGCCAGGCACACCACAACATGCTATGTACAAGCCAGGCATACCACAACATGCTACGTACAAGCCAGGCACACCACAACATGCTACGTACAAGCCAGGCCACAATACACACAACATGCTACGTACAAGCCAGGCACACCACAACATGCTACGTACAAGCCAGGCACACCACAACATGCTACGTACAAGCCAGGCACACCACAACATGCTACGTGCAAGCCAAACACACCACAACATGCTACGTACAAGCCAGGCACACCACAACATGCTACGTACAAGCCAAGCACACCACAACATGCTACGTACAAGCCAAGCACACCACAACATGCTACGTACAAGTCAAGCACACCACAACATGCTACGTACAAGCCAGGCACACCACAACATGCTACGTACAAGTGTCAAAGCACACCACAACATGCTACGTACAAGCCAAGCACACCACAACATGCTACGTACAAGCCAGGCACACCACAACATGCTACGTACAAGCCATGCACACCACAACATGCTACGTACAAGCCAGGCACACCACGACAGCTCACTTTTCACGAAAACCTGCATTAAAATTCTAATTTATGCTCACTAGCCACAACGCTACAGTTACCTTCATAACACCTACCTTCATCAAATAAGAAAAAGGCGCAATACCGTGAAGGGAACAATATATAAATAACCTGTACATAGGAAAGAGAAGCTCACTACGACGTTTCGGTCGGACTTGGACCATTTACAAGTCATTGAGAGACCTGGATCCCAACTCAATGAGAACCTAGGTACGTAGGTAAGTTCTGACAGGAAACATGACAAGTGTTTCCTGACCCAGGTTTTAGTCATATGATGACCCGCAGCTTTTGATCATTTGACCGAGGCCTACTAGCTTACACGTCAACCTCTGGTCATGGACCGGGCCGCGGGGGTGTTGACCCCGGAACACCCTCCAGGTATACCCTCTACGTATAATGATTTTTCCGAAAATGAGAACCCTGTCCTCCCTCCCTCGTTGGCAAACATAATAAATGGGTATATCTATGACCAAAATTGTTAAAGGGGTGGACCAGTAAGCTAGCGGAAGGCCTCGGTCAGATGACCGAAAGCTCCAACGGCGGGTCATCATCTGATTAAGATACGCATCAGGAAACACTTGTCCTGTTTCCTGGTGAACCCTACCTAACCTTACCTAACATTCGTTGACAGACTCGCACTCCTACTCACCAAGAGTCCTGTCCCCTCCATTACCGAGAGTCCTGCACCTTTCTTCAGGTAAGGGCGCAAGTGAGGACCAAGTACTACTATAACTTGAGGAATCACTTGCCGGAGCCACTACTGCACCAGCTCATCCATCTGGCCTTTCCCCTTCTGCGTGACCAGCTGGCTGCTCACCCACGACTTGGCTCTCTCACCACCACTCCCGGGGATCTGTTGGCACTCAAGGTGTGTGTGTGTGTGTGTGTGTGTGTGTGTGTGTGTGTGTGTGTGTGTGTGTGTGTGTGTGTGTGTGTGTGTGTGTGTGTGTGTGTGTGTGTGTGTGTGTAAGAGGGAGGTTGCTGGAATATTATCTCATAACAAAACTATAATTATATAAACAAAATATTCTATATAATCGCACCAGATCCTGCAGATAATCTTATGCATTAACTCTAAGACTTTTTTCTCTTATATGGACCGGCCTTCATCACCTCATGCCTCACCTGTGCCATCTCCTGCCTCACCTGTGCCATCTCCTGCCTCACCTGTGCCATCTCCTGCCTCACCTGTGCCATCTCCTGCCTCACCTGTGCCAACTCCTGCCTCACCTGTGCCAACTCCTGCCTCACCTGTGCCAACTCCTGCCTCACCTGTAGGTGCTGCCTCGCCTGCATCTAACCAACCCGTGTTGCTCCTTACCCTTTGAGAGGTCCTTCAAGAGCACACAAGAGTTCTTTTATTGGCTAGACTTTTCCATTGTGAGTCTTGGGGTACTCATAGCATAATAGTTGTAGTAATTGTGGTTATTGTAGTAGTAGTAGTCGTGGATATTGTAGTAGTAGTAGTCGTGGTTATTGTAGTGGTAGTAGTCGTAGTTATTGTAGTGGTACTAGTGTTGTAATGGAGGTTGATGTCATTAAAGTGGTAGTAATTGCGGTATAGTATAGTATTGTAATGGTGGTGGATGAGCTGAAGGTTATAATAACTTGTGTTAATATTGATAGTAACAAAAATGGCAATAGTTACATAATGGTAAAATAGTAGTAAAAACTATGATAGAAATTGTGGAAACTTGTCTGGACTGCCTCTGTGTGAGTTGTCTACCATAGCAAGCTCTGTTGACACCAACCCCTGAGGCTGGTACCTCAGCCTCACAAGTGGCTTATATGATACATTTCCATAAATGACTGATGTTGCAAAAGGACTAACTTACTTGGTGTTGGAGAATATATCCCGGTCTTCAACCTCCCTAAGCTTTAGCCCCTCTGGACTTCCCCTTCAAACCACGTGCAGCCGGGAACCTTTAATCCTGCAATATTCAGTCGGTATTAGTGATCTGCCTGCACCTCAGAAATTCCTGATTCCAAGGGGGGTGAGTATCCCCTAGTATAACTATGCAGGAAGTGACACTAGCTTCTAAGCTTAACAAAGAGGGGATGCCGGTATGTACTGGTCTTCGGGCGTCCGACTGCACAAAGACCCACAGTTCAACTCACTCGCAATTTCCCCCAGAAACTGGCCAGAATACTGAGAAAAAAAAGGGAGGTCTTGTCTTACTGTATGGGCCTGACGGAGGAGGGCATCCACGGAAAATAAGTCTAACTTTGAATGTGTCATCTGGTTAGATCTAACGTCCACAGTTCCTACATCACTTCACCCCTCCCCCATCAAAGAGGTTCCTCCACCTTTTTTCCCCTACCACATTCCCAGCGCTAGATCGGACATCTTTCCACCTGCATCTCCTGACAACCTCTCTAGGAACCCACCAACCCCCTGACTGCGTAACAGCGGGGAGATTTTCAGATTCGTGAGAATTAATAATAATAATAATAATAATAATAATAATTATAATAATAATAATAAGTACATGATATACAGTCTTAGCTGACATCAATGACATACTACTGCATAGAAAGCCGCTTGTTATTTAGAGCATTTAGGGCAAATTAAGTCAATTTTGTCACCAGCATGTGACCTACACCAGTCGACTAACACCCAGGTACCTGTTTTACTGGTAGGTGAACATGGACAGCAGGTGTCATAAGGAAACACGTCCTGATGTTTTCAGCCGTACCAGGGATCGACCCCTGGACCTCAATGTATGAGATGAGTGCGCAAGCACTCGAGCTTTGGGACATCTTTTTGGGGATTTAAAGCCCTTTGATTTAGATACTGAATAAGTTTATTCAGGTATACACAAATGCAGTTACATAGATTATCAGACATAGCAGCATATGTGTAGAGAAAGTGGGATAACCCAAAAAAGTCAGACATGGTATCTTATTTCCACTAGGGTTCTTTTAATGCCTTATTATTATACTAAAAAGGAAATAATATCTTATTATTATACTGTAGAGGAGGTATACTAGGAATTAGGTAAAATGAGTAATTTACATATGTGTTAGCTAAAAAAAAAATATTCTCCATCCTTTCTGTTGCTACATTCATTAGGCACCTTTTGGCTCTCTTCTTGAACTGGTTCATGCTATGACTGGCTTTGACATGTGCGGGCAGTCTGTTCCATTCCTTTATTGCTGTACAATAAAAGGTGTTTGAAGCCTGGCCAATGACTGTGGGTACTACAAAGTTGTGCTCTCTCCCCCTAGTACTATGATTGCTTTGGTTCCCAGACATGGCAAAATTGGCAGCAAGATATTGGGGACACTATTTGTGAGCAATTTCATAAACCTGATTTAACCTCAGTTGTTTTATATTCAGCATATCCAATTGTTGTAATTCATCCTGGCCTACATGTTCTCTTGGACCCAGGTCCAGGATGAATCTCACCATGTTGTTCTGGGGGATTTGTAGTTTATCTTTCAGTTTTTTGTCAAGGCAGAGTACCATGAAGAGCAAGTGTAGTCCATATGACATTGTAGGTATGTAGGTAAGGTAGACACTGTGCTTGTCTGTAGAGGAACTTCAGTCTGGCATTCGCTTTCTTTACTACACTGTTCCCTATCAATTCTTCTGACATGCATGGGTCAAAGGGAATTCCCAGATATTTTACTGAGGAAACCAAAGTGATGGGTTCTCCATTACACCGGACATTAAAATTATTTGCCTTTCTCAGTTTATATTTCGTGCCGAAGAGTATGGTTTCCGTTATCCCGAGGTGTAACGATAGTTTGTTGCCTACTAACTATATACTGCAGGACTCCAGTTCTAGTGTTATTACATTAGCTATATCTTGTGGGTCTTTACCTGAATCTAACTGTGGACTGTGACTGAGTTACTGTTGTTTTGATTTCATTCTGACTGTATCAGTTATATGACAGTAAATTTGTCCAGTTAGTGACAGAAGTATACTGACTGAGTAAATTGGGGTTTTAGTATCAAACTGGAACTGATAATAGCAAACCGTGATTGATATTAGCATTTCCATATGGAAATGCTAAGATCAATCTCGGTTGCAAATTTATATTGTTACGGTAGTAGCAGACTAATGTTTATAGTAGCAAATTGGTATTGATAGTAACGAATTAATAATGGTTGTAGCAAACTGGTATTGATAGAAGAAAAATGATACTGACCTCTAGTGACCCATGGTTAAAGTAGACTGTACGCTCAAAGATGAGGGAAGAAAGAAACCACTCACACTCCTGAACACTCACACCCCTGAACACTCACCTCGTGGGGAACCACTCACACCCCTGAACACTCACATCCCTGAACACTCACACCCCTGAACACTCACACCCCTGAACACTCACACCCCTGAACACTCACACCCCTGAACACTCACATCCCTGAACACTCACACCCCTGAACACTCACACCCTGAACACTCACATCCCTGAACACTCACACCCCTGAACACTCACATCCCTGAACACTCACATCCCTGAACACTCACACCCCTGAACGCTCACATCTCTGAACATTACTCACACCCCTGAACACTCACCACACTCCTGAACACTCAACTCACCCACCCCTGAACACTCACACCCTGAACACTCACACCCCTGAACCTCACACCCCTGAACACTCACTCACACTCCTGAACACTCACACTCACACCCCTGAACATTAAACTCACACCCCTGAACACTCACTTCATCACCCCTGAACATTTACTCACACCCTGAACCACTCATACCCCTGAACACTCACTCACACCCCTGAACACTCACATCCCTGAACACTCACACACCCTGAACGCTCACACCCCTGAACATTACACCGCTGAATCATTACTCACACCCCTGAACACTCACATCACACCCCTGAATCACTCACTCACACCCCTGAACACTCACTCATACCCCTCAACACTCATTCACACCTCTGAACACTCATTCACACCCCTGAACATTTACTCACACCCCTGACCACTCATACCCCTGAACACTCACTCACACCCCTGAACACTCACATCCCTGAACACTCACACCCATGAACGCTCACACCCCTGAACATTCACTCACACCCCTGAGCACTCACACCGCTGAACATTTACTCACACCCCTGAACACTCACTCATACCCCTAAATACTCACTCACACCCCTGAACACTCACTCACAATCCTGAACACTCACTCACACCCCTGAACACTCACTCATACCCTCACACTCATCATACCTGAACACTCACTCACACCCCTGAACATTTACTCACACCCCTGACCACTCATACCCCTGAACACTCACTCACATCCCTGAACACTCACATCCCTGAACACTCACACCCCTGAACGCTCACACCCCTGAACATTCACTCACAGCCCTGAGCACTCACACCGTTGAACATTTACTCACACCCCTGAACACTCACTCATACCCCTGAACACTCACTCACACCCCTGAACACTCACTCACACCCCTGAACGCTCACTCACACCCCTGAGCACTCACTCATACCCCTCAACGCTCATTCACACCTCTGAACGCTCACTCACACCCCTGAACATTTACTCACACCCCTGAGCACTCACTCACACCCCTGAACACTAACTCACACCCCTGAACACTCACTTACAACCCTGAACGCTCATTCACAACCCTGAACATTTACTCACACCCCTGAGCACTCACTCACAAACCCCTATGAACACTCACTCACACCCCTGAACCTACTCACGCCCCTGAACATTCACTCACACCCCTAACACCCCCCAAGAAAAAATTACACACCCCGACAAACCCCTGAAACTCATTCAAACCCCTGAAAAACCACCTCACACCCCGAACACTCATTCACCCCCCCTAATTTCCCCCACACCCCTAACGTTACACCCCTAACATCACACCCCTGAACATTTAAACCCCAACCCCTAAAACATACCTACACCCCTGAATACCCCCACATCATCAACACTAATTCCTCTTCTCTCTCTTCCTTTTCCTTCTTCTCTCTTCCCCTTCTCCTCTCTCCCCCTTTTCCGTCCTTTCTCCTCTTCCTTCCTCTTTTTCTCTCCTTCCATGTGTCCTCCCCCCCTAGGTAAAAATGGATGGGTTCTGTGGGCCGCTCCCCTCACCTGCCCACCGTGACTGCTACCCTGTGAAACCCTGAGGCCCTCAAGTACCACCTGGCATCACCCCCCAAAATCCCCCTCACGGTAGTAAACCCCTATCTTTCCCACAGGGTATGCCACTAAAAAGCTGTAAAACCGGGGGAACAAAATCACAATTTTCCCCGTACCTTTGTTACACTATTTCATCCTGGTACACTGTATGGTACAACTTTTACATCATCCCTGGTACACTGAGGGACAACATCATCATCATCATCCGGACACTGTAGGGACAACATTATCTCATCACCCCGGACACGGGG